ACATTAAAAAAATTTAATGTAATTTGTAGTTTTAATTTTATACATTATAAAAATAGTTTCATACAAGAAAATAAATAAATATTTAAAATTATCAGACATTTTTTGCTTTATTTGTTAATTATAATAGAATTTTGAGTAACTGGCCTAAACAAGAATGGAAATGGACTGGTTAAGAAAAATCTAAATAATATCAATCTGTATCTATCAATAGCTATATTTTAAAAAAATTGCTAGGTTTATTTACATTTTAATTTCATTAATATCTTTAAGTTTATAACTGCATGCTGCTTAAGCTTTCATAATGTTCACAACTGGATGGAATTTTTAATAAAAGGCATTTTTCAAAATATTTATACAATAGACAATATTTGTTACCAGATAAACAAATACATAACTATTTACAATGAACAGATCATTCATTTTATTAATATGTTATAATTATTACATAATAAAATAGTTATAATAAAAAACTTATAACATTCATAATATCAAACATATAGATGATTAATTTATAAGAGAACATGAAAATCATTTATCCATCTCATATATTACTTCCATTATTCAGATTTAAAGAATTTACATTCTGTGGAAAACAAAATTAATTGAAGTAAAACATATTGAAAATTATTTTAAAATCTATTATATATAATAATTATGAAATTGAATATAAAACTTGCTATATTCTTATTTTCTCTTCATAGATTTATCTTCCATTTTCACTCTACATAGAATATTTCTATTTATTGCAAGGAAAAATCAGGTAAATAATAAATTTATTTNGCAGTTTATTCTCTGTTGTATTCTCAAGTAAACAATACATACAAGTACAGTACAGTATTTTCTGAGGAAACACTTGTTCATATTTTTTTAACCCATTCCTGATAACCTGGCATTTTCACAAACTTGGCCATCCTTTGGTCCATAGGCTGAGTTTTCGGGACTCTACTGTATTCTTAAAATGGCTATTTTTGTAAGTCACTTTTTTCAATTATACAAGCTCTATGATGGCTTTTCTTTTCTGCTAGTCTTATTACACCATCAAACAGAAAGAGAACAAACTTTAGAAAATCATATTTTTATTTCCTGGAGTATGCATTTCAGACCTTAAGTTCCTTTTCAACTCTATGTGATATAAATGGCTATGAGAAGTACAGGAATTGCGATGATAGATAAAATATGGATGATGATTATTGATTAACAGGTATTTGCTAAAACAATAGTTAAAATGGAAATAGTTTACAAGACCAAGATGTTAAATATAGATGTAAAAAGTTTCTAACTTACAGCAAATCAACGGTCTGATACATAATGTTGTACAGCAAACAATATACATAATAAAGTACATCTATAAACTATAGAATCTAAAACTGTGACATTGTATACTATAAAATTATTAAAATAATAAAATAGAATAATGAAGTAAAACAAGTGCACCGTTAAAACGATAAGAATATAAAAAATTATTTGCAGTAGAAACATAAACTATAGAACGATTTACAGAAATAACAAGAAAATTGCCGCCAATTACCTCTTTATTTAAACACTCCCCTTCCCTCCTTGCGCCCCCTCTTGGTCAAATATGGATACCAAGTTTTATGTAATTTTTGACCAATGTGATTATTTATCATTCTATCTTTGTTTTTAAGTATTTCTAGATGTTCATACCATCTCCTTTTTTGTGTATTTGATTCCTTTTTGACAATTTTTGCAGTCTCCTTAATAATTTGACAACCTTCACTGTTACAATGAACAGCAACTGCTGAACTACTATTATTGTATTTAATTGCGGATATGTGTTCTTTAAACCGAACCTTCAAATCTCTTCCTGTTTCACCTATATAAAATTTGGAGATAGTACAGCTACACTTGAGTTTGTAAATTACATTTATTTAGTCCCATATATTATTATTATTATTATCATGTGTGTTTAACTTACTATTAATACTAGGAATTTTTTCTGTTACTAAAATTATACCATAATTGTGTGATTTAGATTTGATTCTTTCAAAAATGTTCTAAAGTTTTTCCTCTTTCTGTTTGATGATGTAATAAGTCTAGCAGAAAAGAAAAGCCATCATAGAGCTTGTATAATTGAACACAAGACTAGACAAGAAGTGTATTACAGAAGTCACTTTTTTCAACAGTAATTATATTATTGGGTAAAAAATTATTTTTATCATAATATTTCTACTAATATAGCTCATTATGTGATATTTGAATTAAAGTTTTATATATAAAATGAATATTAGAAAATCAAAAACATTTTTGTATTTTTGCTTTAAATCAATTGTTTCATGATCAAATTGGATCTGAGATGTGGTGACCTAATCACATATTCCTTTTTGGTAGAAGAGCTGTATTTTATTTTAAATTCTATACAATGATAGCCTTCCTGATACTATGATGAGAAAGTGTTGAGGGATTTATTGATATGTGATCAATTTATGGTAGTAGAATTCATAACTTTTTTCCAAATTGTCAATGAGAACAAATCTCCAAAAACACTAGAATCAAGAAAAAAGGAGGAAAAAGTGTCATAAAAATGGATGCTGTTTATCATGGCAGATGGCCATATGTTATTTTGAAATGTAAAACTATACCAAAAACTGAAATGTTTGAAATCTATATATATAAAAATGAATGTATGTGTGTGTGCCCTTCATGCATTACCACACCGTTTATCCGATTGCCGTGAAACTTTGAGAAGTTGTTTAATGTACTTCTGTGAAGGTTTCTGGCATAGTACAATTGCCATGAAGCTTTGGGAAGTTTTTTAATACACTCCTGCGAAGGTTTCTGGCATTTATCCTACGATAGATGGCGTGCATTTACACAAGCATTCGAGCACTGTGTGTTCGATCGATTTCAAATTGTGAAGACCATTTCCCCCTTCAAAAAATATCTCTATATATGCATTTGTGAACTGTTATTTACGATATTTGTAATAATTTTTGTTTAATCACTTTATTTCAACTTTTTTTTGCTAATTATGTATTCGCTCGAACTTTGTTAAAACCTTAACTGTACCTCGAACAACAACCGAAGTTGTAGGAAGAAATTCGCGTATTTACCGATCTAGGTATCCCCCTTTTCCAAATTTTAATATCGACTCAAAATAATTTAAAAAGACAAATTACAATAAAACGGTTTATTATCCAACTATCAGAAATTTCACAACATGCCAAGGAAGAGAGGAAGGAGCAATTAAATAATTAAAATTATAAAGGATTAAAAAAAATATATAAAAATGGGGAATATCGCACTTCTGACAATCGCTGCAAGTGTGTGGGCTAAATTTGGAGAATCCGTGCTTCTCGCATGGACAACTGTATGTGGCCGGCTCACGCGTCGGAAAACCTTCCGATTTATTCGTGTACGCACCAGACGGAAAAACAAAAAATATCGTGTATCCACAAGCACTCCAATAAATAAATAGAATTGAAACGACACTTTGAAATGTTTTCCCGATGAAAATGAATAATAATAATAAGTTTCAATAAAAATGATAAAATGTAAATTGAATTTTATCATAACGAGTTTGCTTGAATTTCGTTTCTTCTGAGATCGCAGCAATGCGCGACGGGTAAGCTAGTAATAAATAAAACTCAAGAAAATTGTTAGATGGATAATTTCCTCATTCTGGACTAGATTTTGTGAATGTGGAAAAATTGATCTGTAGAAATGCTAAATGCACAAAAGCTACAAGAATTAGTATGCAAGTACTAATTCTAATTCTTACTAATTCTTGTATATTCTTAATTACTAATTCTTAATGTGTAATTCTTACTAATTCTTACTAATTTAATAATAATTTCATACTAATTCTTGTAGCTTTTGTGGCATATAATGGATGAAATTAAAAATGCCATGTTGCTGGGGTACTGATCAAGTAATCATCCCTGGAGTTCTAACATCTATGTTACAATTCTTAAATATTCACATTAATAAGCCATTTAAGTTTGCCCTGAGGGATCAATATATGCAGTCGCTGGCAGAGGCTAAATTTTCTTGAAAGATAAGATGTCTAGAAATTGAGATTATCTGTGAGTGAATTAAGACTTTTTGGACATAAATTTCTTCAGAAGTGTGGCATTTCAAATACTTTCAATGGCTTACAAGATTACATTCTTTGGGACACTGATTCAAATGTGAGTTCTGACATTGATGATGATGATTTATCATTTCTGCATGAACTAGACCCACTCCCCAACTCTATGATCTTACTGAACCATTGCAGACATTATTAAATTAGTAAAATTTGTTTAATATGTAATAAATGAAATTGGAGAAGATTTGTTCATGTTCACAAGTTGTTATTAGTCAATTTTTTCCTGAAATTTCATTTTGTCAACATATTTTGGGTGCCCTGTATGTTTTCTATTCTTTAGTTCAAAATTTCCTGAATGAAACTTTCAAAACCACATTTGACATGTCCAAAGTATTACAGGATCATCTTCCTCATACACCAAGAGTATTTTTTCTGAGTATATAGCATTATATTCTTTATGAAAATAAAAGCAATCATAACATGTCTAATATGCATTTTATCTGCAGAAATTTTGATTTGATTTTACATGACCAAAACATGAAATAAAGTTTTAAAATTACTTTCTAAACAAAAAACACAATCTCACATCAGCAGTAATGTGTTAAATTTTACAACTATCATAATTAAACTGCATATCTATATTGAATATCACCCTCTGCACAAAAATAGCTTATTCACAAACTCCTTTTTTGCCAAGAAAAACATATTTATGTTAAGTAAAGATGGCTGTTAAAGCCATTTTAATTAAAACCCTGTACTGCATATGTAAAAGGATTGCCACAATTAATCTTGCACATTAATCAAATCCTACATTAAGCAAAACCATATTAAGAAAGAGATACTTTTAGATCAATTTTAAAACTAATGTTCTTGGATTAAAATTTTTAGATCAGATTTTAGCTTTTATTTAAAACCAAGTAGTTTTTTTTAATTATAATTTATAATTTTTTAGATGAAGTCATACCACACTATGGTCAGCATTTTTGTAAATTTAATTTACAAGGAAAAAATTGGAAATTTCAATCTTCTAATAATATGACTGAATCAGAAAACACAGTAGCTGTTGATTTCCAAGGTAAATTTTATTTAATAATACTTAAAATATAATAAATATAATGCTTTTATTTTTTGAGTAACTAGGATAATCTCATGAATTGTATATTTAGAAGTTATTTTTGAAATTATATGATTTATGTAATGTATCAGACAAAAAACCATTTTAGTTGTAATAAATTTGTTTATATTCTTATAATGAAACTTATTAGTTTTCAGAATGATTCACCAATTAAAAATTTTAAGTTATTAAAATTTATTTTTTTGTCATGTTTTATTGTATACGCTACCCCAGGGGTGTCCAACGTTTTTGTTTCTCTGGGCCACATTGGAAGATGTCATGAAGTTTTGGACCACAAGTATATTATATATACTTGTGGCTATTGTGATTAACATGTCTAGATTATAGTAATAACTATTAAATCTTTATCACGAAAAAGGATATTTTAAAAAATTAGTTTTACAGACAGTTCTAATTTTTACTTAGAAATAGATAAATTCATTTATTATAAAGGAGACAAACAAAAATTTATTTGAAAAACACAATTATTTGTTTTATTTGAGTCTCTAATTAATAAAAAATGACAAAACATCATTTTAAAGTGCATTTTTATTTGACTAATATATTTATAAGTAAGATGTAGCCCAAAAAGTAGCCAATGTGTCAAATGATATTTTTTACACCAGACTAAAAAACAGGTAGCCAACTTTGGCGCAAAGTATCCAAATCATGCAACATTGGAAGGAATACTAAATAAAGTTGTAGTTGGACTCAAAGGATTTAGACTTAAATGCGGGGAAAGGAGAGAAAGGACAAGATAAAGAAGCGAGGAAGGTTTGAAAATTAAGGGTCCATATTTGCTTAACAGAAAGTCTATTTAACCTTTCTCACTACTTTTTAACTTTTGGCCTTAGTCTCCTTTCCCCGAATTTGGGACTATAATTCTTTGAGTTTCAACTTTCTCTTTATTTAGTATTCTTTCCTCATTCACACATTTCCAAGTATTTGAAAATATTTCCTTTCCACTCAAAAATAAAATATGTATAAAGGTTTACGGCTTTGTGAAACTAATTTTTTTGAATTTATGTGGTTGAAATAATTAAAATAAAATAAAAGAAATTAAAATGGTTGGTTTTGTTTACACGTTTATTGGGCCACATTGGAACTTGCCTTGGGCCACGGGTTGGACACCCCTGCTCTACCCTGTTGATCATTTAACTCATACAAAGTTATATGTGCTTCTTCAAATTTGCACTAGATTATCTTATTTTTTCTTTATAAATTTTTAAATGTATTCTTGTATGTATTATAAATTGTAAACTTTCTTAGAGCTACAATCTGTTTTCTGTTTTGAGTGCATATTATAATATCACATTCAAGTTTTTAATAGATTAATACTATAAAATTATATTTATTGAGTGTTAATTTGAGTAGATTTTCAAAAAATGTTATAAAACATATTTAAGTTGATGTTCTGTCAAAGCTGTATAATAAAGTACAGTCTCTTTTATTCTTTAAAATGCATCATATCAAATCTATATTTATTGTAGTTTATATCATATTGCATAAGATGTATTTATAAGATTCTTAAATAATTTTGAAATTTTTATAATTTGTTTGTTTGTTTTTTTTTATTTTTTTTATATTTATTAGTAAATTTTTGCTCTGGTTTTATTGCTTATACAACTCATAGTTTTTAAACAACACCAATGCCAGAAATTGTTTTAGAAATTCTATGTATTTAGGTGGAGAAGAATCTACAAAATAAGGTTGATTCTACCATGTGATCTTGCATTCATGTAGTGTAGAAAAATATGTCTTTGAGTGTTTATTTTAATTACAAATATTTATTAATAATTTTCATCTTGGTTTTATTGTTTATACAAATTGTATAAAATATTAAGAAAACTACATACAAACTACAGCAATTAACCATCCAAATTTGCATGAGACATTTCTAGAATATGCATCCATTGTTTTGCATTCCAAAGAGAGTCTGTCTGAAATTCAAAAATACCATGAGTTTTTAACTATTAAGAAAAAATATTTTATTTGAAATTTTGTAATTTTTGAAGTAAATTATGCTGTAAAAATACTGACTTCTTAACCTGCTTTTATGGATTTGATGGAGCCAGTACAGTATAAGAAAAGGATAAAGTAATTCCTATGTTTCCAAATAGCAAATTGTTCCTGGTATCCTGATTGTATTATGTAAATTAGTAAAAGTTACTTAGATGCAGTAAACTACAAAGTTGATCAAGATCATTTGTAATTTGGAATGTAATTTACAATTGAAATGTTTTTAGATTTATTACAAATTTTCATGGTGCAATATGGATAAATGGGTTAGATACATGGTATAATAAAAATAATATATGATATGCATAATTTATTATTAAACTCGGCTTTAAGATATAACTAAATTTTTAAAATCTTAAAATACCAGGTAAGATACACACTGAATATCACTCTAATGTATTACCAGATTGTAGATATATTGTTTGTAGTAGTCTATGAAAAAGTTACAATAAGTTTAACTATTTCATAAAATGACAGAAGATAAATTTGTAGTCTTTTAATTGAATTTTTTGTTTATTTTAAGATGAGGAGTTTTTTAAAAACTCAAAGTATATATAATATGTGTGTATATATATATAACTTGAACTTTAATTTTATATATATATATAAAATTAAAGTTCAAGTTATATATATATACACACATATTATATATACTTTGAGTTTTTAAAAAACTCCTCATCTTAAAATAAACAAAAAATTCAATTAAAAGACTACAAATTTATCTTCTGTCATTTTATGAAATAGTTAAACTTATTGTAACTTTTTCATAGACTACTACAAACAATATATCTACAATCTGGTAATACATTAGAGTGATATTCAGTGTGTATCTTACCTGGTATTTTAAGATTTTAAAAATTTAGTTATATCTTAAAGCCGAGTTTAATAATAAATTATGCATATCATATATTATTTTTATTATACCATGTATCTAACCCATTTATCCATATTGCACCATGAAAATTTGTAATAAATCTAAAAACATTTCAATTGTAAATTACATTCCAAATTACAAATGATCTTGATCAACTTTGTAGTTTACTGCATCTAAGTAACTTTTACTAATTTACATAATACAATCAGGATACCAGGAACAATTTGCTATTTGGAAACATAGGAATTACTTTATCCTTTTCTTATACTGTACTGGCTCCATCAAATCCATAAAAGCAGGTTAAGAAGTCAGTATTTTTACAGCATAATTTACTTCAAAAATTACAAAATTTCAAATAAAATATTTTTTCTTAATAGTTAAAAACTCATGGTATTTTTGAATTTCAGACAGACTCTCTTTGGAATGCAAAACAATGGATGCATATTCTAGAAATGTCTCATGCAAATTTGGATGGTTAATTGCTGTAGTTTGTATGTAGTTTTCTTAATATTTTATACAATTTGTATAAACANTGAGATTGGATGCTGGCGGCAATCTTCTTTATGTCTGGTGTAATGGCAGATGTTGAAACAACCAGCAGATTTTCCAAATTCTCGTTGGTTAACCTGTTCCGTGTTTTGCACTTGTTTAAATTCATAAGCGAAAACTTGCAAGCTTGTTTGGCAGTACCTATGTATGCAAACAAGCATACATAGGTACTGCCAAACAAGCTTGACGTTTGCCAATTTTAAAGAATTTCGCACCAGTTACTGGTTAATTGTAGATAGTTGTTGGTTTGGAGTATATACAACCCGGTGTGGTGAGAAAGCACATTAATGCTTGCACAAAATCGAGCATTGTCTTTCAGTTTTGGAAATGATGTATCTGGCAGTTCTTTGTAGAACGTGAGGAGATTAGAATTTTTGAACTGTGATTTCAATTCATCACTGCACTGGATGTCTATCAACNTAATTTATATATATAATGTATGAAATTAGATTTTAGTATAAAAATAACGTTTTTTTCTTAGAATATGATTTATCAACTACATCTGATATGTTTTCAGATATAACAGATGCCGAGGTATGTTGTATGTGATCAATTTTTACTGATTTTAATATTAATATGAAGAATTAAACAGAATAATGCAGAATTAACAAAGATTTCATATATTTGAATATTGTACTGTACAGTACATTAAATATGAATTTAAGTCATGATATTTTTAACTAATAATATAGATTGAATTTATAACTCTTTTTATAATTTAATAACTCTACAATTTCAATACTAATGTCAAAGTTGAATAATTAATTCTTAATTCAATTATTATCATTTTTAAAGTTAACTAATATCTTTAATACAAATATACTTAATATTCTACATATGTGTAATAATTACAATGAAAGGGTTATCACATACCATTTCAGCCCCTAATAAAGTATATTTGTATTAAATATCCTAAAAAAAGGGATTAAGGGCTTATTGTTAATTGAATTAACTAAGTTTTAATGAGTTATTTTAATATTACCAAATACAGTAGAGTCCCGAAAACTCGGCCTAATGTGGACCGAAGGGTGGCCGAGTTTGTGAAAATGCCAGATTATCGGGAATGGGGTTAAAAAAGAGTTACGAGTGTTTCCTCAGAAAATACTGTACTGTACTTGTATGTATTGTTTGCATGAGAATACAACAGAAAATAAAATGCCCAAATACCCTTAAACAAAGGAAAAGTACGTACTTTATGAAGGCATAGAGCCTTTACTACATGAAAATGAAAATTAATGAATACACCGTGTACAGTAATTTACCTGATAAGACAGACTTCAGAAAAATACTTTATGAGGCATAAAGCTGTCTATAATGAAAATTAATTAACTAGGGGTTTTTTGCCCTGCCAGGGTGTGGCTGAGTTATCCAGACTGCCGGGTTATCAAGTGATAAGTTTTCAGGACTCTACTGTACAAATTGTATTGACTTTGACTACATATATATATTCTAAGATTAAAATAGTATTATTTTCTTTTTTATCTAAAATAACTATGAAATATTTTTCTTTCAATGTTTTATCTTGACATTAAAATAATGTTTAATTTAGGTACCAATTGTTTTGATTAAGATTGGGATTATATACCAGATGTGTAAATTTAATATGCAGATTTTTTAATATTTATTAACCATAAAGGTTCTGTAAAATTTTGATTAAAAAATTAACTTAGTTTTAAAATTTGAACAGATTGTTTTCTTATATGATAAGATTACTTATATTTTATTAGTTTTGTAAAAATAATATTCCTGACCTAAGAATTACACTTGAACTTCTAAAGTTAAAAATAACAGTAATAATAGTTAACTTAGAGACAGTTTTTGGTTTCTAGTTTATAGATTAGCCTAAATAAGGTTTTCTGAAAATTTCTTTAGGATATAATGACTTTTAGAATTTCAGATCTGGAGAATACTATGCTAAATTCAGATTACCAAATTCAATAGTGACTGGCCTGATAACTTTGTTATAAGTTTGATAACATCAAATTTTATTTTAAACAATTATCTTTATAACATATTTTGGGGATATATTGTATTGTCACATCATTGACTATAGCATTAAACAAGATAAGAATGAAAACAATTTTTAAATACAGAAAGTTGATAAATTTTGATTTTATTATATCATAATCTAGTACAAGTTGACTTTTATTATTCTAATGCAAACTATCAAAATATTTGTTTAACTCTATATTTTATATTAATTGGTTATAATATACATTGGAAATATATATTTATTGCCTAAATATAAATAATAAAATACATATGTCTAATAATACATCATACATTAATTTCTAAAATTTCTCTCAATATAAAAGGAAAAAAATATATTGTATATAAAAATATACTATAATAAATTTCATAAAAATAAATTTATTTGCTCATTTATTAGTTTAATCAATAATAATTTTTTTAAAAGTATTAAATGTGCCCTATATTAGTTGATTACGTTTATCCTTATTTAATAATACGTAGTTTTGAAGGATGATCTTGTAACTTACAAATATGCTTAGAATGATTAAATGTTATTTTTTTAATCTTAAAATTATTAATTAAATTAATTTAGCCATGAAAGTTTCAATATTAAAAATATTAATATAAAGAAATTACAGTAAGATCACGTGTAATGCTTAGGAAGCATTCCTAGATGACAGTTCTAAATGGAACAGTGTTAAATGAGGCCATTCTAACACAGAGTAAATAGGGAAAGGGGAACATGCAACCAAAAATAAACAGATTTTACTTTAATTTTAAGTTATTTTTATATTAATTTGCATAATAATATATGTTAAATAACACACAAATATATGCACACAGAAATGTAAAGTTCAGTTTTTGTGATGAAGGTTCTGGCTCTTCTGAAATTCTTGATATTTTTGTGATTAAGTTGTCTAGTGCCATTTGTTGCTTTTTTTTTTCTTTCTTTAAGCAAATGTCAGTAGAAAGACATTGCATCCAAAATGCCTTGTCTTGCTTTTGCACTCCTTTCAAAATCTGGATAATTTGCTACAATTTGATCAAAGATTTTTGTTATCATTACCAAACTTTTACTAAGGAAATCTGTAGAGAAATTCTTTGGGTTTTTCATTTTCAGAATCACTATTTTCTAGTTCTATATGAATTCCTTGTTCTGCCAGTTCTTGAAGGTCATCGTTGGTAAGGCTCTCATCAGAAACCTGCAGTAACTCCTCAATATTCTGCTCATCTACATCTGCTGTCTCGATTAGGTTGACAATTTGGTCAATGATAGGCTTTTCTTGTTGAGAATCTTTGGATACTCCCAGCCATACTTTCTTCCACGTTTTGTTTATGCATTTATCAGTTAATTCTTGCCAAGTGAAGTCAATATTGCCTATGACATCCATGATGTTATAAATTACCTAACTTCACTGCCTGTAACTGGCGTTCTTCTTCTCCAATACAGAGGACTTTGCAAACGTTTTCGAACCTAATGTGGTTCTTATTCAGGCGCTACAGAATTCCCTATATGAATTCGAATTTCCAGTCTAGAATTAACCGTTGTCTTAGAAAATCTTTCTGGAACGTTGTCACGTGTTACCAATGGCGTCATTGTAGACTTGCGCATTAACCGTATGTTGTAACTTTAGAGTTTTATTGAGGAAGGCTTCCCATGCCGTTGATATCTTCATTTCTTGTTTGAAGTTAATGCAGTGCTTATTCCTGAGGGTGTTAAGGCAAATGTATAAGGCCTCTAGCCATCTGAGGTGTTGTGTGCTGATTATTCGATTGGCTTAGAAACGGAAAAGACTCTTCAGACAGCAACAGACTTCCGGGAGTATACTCTGTGCCCATCATAGATCATAAAGACAACAGCAAAGTAATTTACATCGGGTCCACTAAACGCAACTTAGTAACTAGAATCAAGGAACACAAAGCGGACATCCTACATCATAGAAACAACACTGCCTTAGCGGTATACTCCTCCGACCCAGAAATAGAGCCGCTATTCCCTCTAGCTAGAATTATTCACACCACGTTCAGCACACAACACCTCAGATGGCTAGAGGTCTTATACATTTGCCTTAACACCCTCAGGAATAAGCACTGCATTAACTTCAAACAAGAAATGAAGATATCAACGGAATGGGAAGCCTTCCTCAATAAAACTCTAAAGTTACAACATACGGTTAATGCGCAAGTCTACAATGACGCCATTGGTAACACGTGACAACGTTCCAGAAAGATTTTCCAAGACAACGGTTAATTCTAGACTGGAAATTCAAATTCATATAGGGAATTCCGTAGTGCCTGAAGAAGAACCACATTAGGTTCGAAAACGTTTGCAAAGTCCTCTGTATTGAAAAAGAAGAACGCCGGTTACAGGCAGTTAAGTTAGGTAATTTATCAACTCCGGTGTTATAATTTCTGTATAGTATATCATGATGTTATATTTTTTCAAAATTGCACCAAACAAACAAATTTAGGGGAAGTTCAGTGCTACGATGAATTGCCACCTTCTGCTGATTGGTTTGTGCTTGGAAATAATTTTATTATTTACAAATCAATGAAATGTTGCAATAATTTGAATTAGCGTAAATTTTGAGCGTTTTTTTAGGCTTTGAGCAGATTGCGTTATATCAAATCGGTGTTAATTGAGGAAGTACTAAACAAGGTTTTACTGTATTTTACAATTTATATTAGTATTTTTAAAATTCAAATTATTTGATGTATTGTGAAATTCTTATAACATTTTTTACATATTTTATGCAGTTTTCTAATATTCTCTATGTTTTGATTTAAAAAATTTTCAAAACTTTTTGAAAACTAACTTTATTTCAACCTAGTAAAATTATGTTATAACACAATTTAAACCTATATTATAAACATTAGAAAGACTTGATTAGGAATCTTATCATTGTTATAGGTTAAAAAGCAATCAAATAATATTTATGGGAAGCATAAAATGGTAAGAATTGAACACATTAAGTTAACATTTTATATAAGGATTTTTTTCTATATATTATGAAAGAGAATTAGTTTAAATCTTCTAATACTTAAATTATAAAATGATTGTTTGTAATGATTTACTTATAATATGCAAATTATGTTATTTTTATGCAATTAATTTTATTTTTGAATTACATTTTATAAGCCATTCTGTTGTTATGTAAATTGTGAAGATATATATTTTTTGAAAATACTTATTTTTATTACTTATTTAATTTATATATGTTACATTATTAATTACTTATTTATTTCATTAATTGGATCTTGTTAAATCAAAAAGTTTATATTATATTTAGAAAATGTTTAAGTTTACTTATAATTCATTTATAGAATGAAGATTGTGACTCTTGTAAAGGCAATGCCAAAGATAATGATCCCATTTGTGCCCAGATATCTTCAGTACAGTCAATTTCAGAAAGCGAACATGAAAACATTTTGCCTTTAATGTTCGATATATCACAATTTTCTTCAGATTGCAATACTGATAAATTATTTAATAGAGATTTGGAGACTCCAAATTATAATTCATTTAGTTCAGATTCGTGTATGTTATTTTATGAATTATTGTTTTTTTTTCCCACTGTTTAAACATTGACTTACAAAATTACATTTGTGAATTTAGGTGAAGTTCCCTCAAAATTATCACAATGCAAAAGAGCTTGGATGGTAGATAATGCATGTGCAGAAATAACTAGTGATGAATCAGACTTGAAATTTGAAAATGAAATTTTTAAAAATCAAGAGGCTTGTAATTTCGAACATAGAAGAAGTTCTAATGAATTATATGTTGTTGATGAAAAGGAAGAATATGAGAATACTGAACATCAAATGCTAAATGAAGATTTAATTAAAAAAATTGTTAATCATATCATTACAATGGATCCAAGGTAAGAAATAAATTATAATTTTGTATCTGAATTTTTGTTTTAATTAAAATAGATTAGGAAAATAATTTGTACTGTTTGTTGCAGGGAAAGTTTTCAGAATTGAACACATTCAAAATTTATGAATCACTTATTTTGAGTTTTTATTTATATTCATTATGTACAATATGTACTGTACAGTGAATAATTATCCTATACTTGGAACATTTTGTATTCTTTACTTAAACATAAATAATTATTTTACAATAACCATTATAAATATTTCATTTATCTGACATTCATACATTTGCATGTATTGATAGATATATATATCTATCAATATACATAATTAATATATATGTATATAATTATGTCTGAATTTTTTTTAAGAAATTAAAATCCTTGAAAAACGTTTCCTTAAGCAATTTGTTGTGAAACTTTAACTCTGGTGATAATAAAGAGTTGCCTACCATACATTTTTCTATTACACTGTGCTGTTAATGTTAAATAGTTTTTCTGTTGAAGGGTGGTAACAAGCAAGCCCACTTTGTGGTTGACATTCAATATTTCCTGTTGTTTGAAAAATTCAAGTTTGGATTTGATGCTTTGTGGCACATTCAATTCTAGACACATCAGTCTGTAAATGGTCTATTTCTATTCTTCAAATAATTCTTTCTTTTATAAAATTAGCTTAATTATTACTATTTGTGACATACACTAAAACAGTAACAAACTGTCCTTGATGGTTAAACCACAAAAAAAACAATATCATGCTTTTGCTATATTTATGGAGACTATAAATTTTGCATAAACCTGAGCTTTTTATTAAAATATTTGACTACATTTGGGATATTTTTATTGCCTGGAAATATTTACAATAATTTTTCATTGTTCATTTTGTTTGTTGTTTGCAATGGATTAGATAATTATGCTTATTTTTTGGATATTTTTCAATATAAACAAATTAATTATTAACAGTTTACAAAATTAAAGACAACTGTAATTCTAGGAAACAAAATACTCTTCTTAAGGTATTGGGCATAATTGAAAACTCTGCTGCTGATGATGCACCACATGATTCTTCTTTGAAAGAACTTCAACAAGATTCTAATCATCAAAATGACATATCAACTCAGTCTTCCATGGCAGGAGTAAGAGAAAGGCGTCCTTTTCAATCTGCTAATTTTAAAAAGCAGGTAACTATGCTGACTCTTTACTATTTGATAAAATGTTTTGTATTAATTTATATTACAGACATTTACAAAACTTACATAATGAGTAAATATAGACATCTATGTTTGGTATTATTTAAGAAAATATTTTAAATATTTTTATATCATTAGTACAGTAGAGTCCCAAAAACTTGGCCTAATGTGGACTGAAGGGTGGCCGAGTTTGTGAAAATGCCAGGTTATCAGGAATGGGGTTAAAAAAAATAAGTACGAATGTTTCCTCAGAAAATACTGTACTGTACTTGTATGTATTGTTTGCTTGAGAATACAACAGAGAATAAACTTCCCAAAAAAGTACGTACTTTATGAAGGCATAGAGCCTTTACTACATGAAAATGAAAATTAATGAATATACTGTGTACAGTAATTTACCTGATAAGACAGACCTCAGAAAAATAGTTTATGAGGCATAAAGCTGTCTATAATGAAAATTAATTAACTAAGGGTTTTTTTGGCCCTGCCAGGGTGTGGCCGAGTTATATGGACTGCCGGATTATCGAGTGCTGAGTTTTCGGGACTCTGCTGTATTAATTGTTTCTCTTTTATTATAATTTTAATGTTTATTTAACTAACAATCTGATTACTTTTTATTAATTAAAATTCATTCAACTTGTTAATAATTACTTTTGGCTATTATTATTGTTGTTTTTTCTTTTTAAGATTCAAACAAGAGTTTTTGAACATGATATTAAATTATTTATTATTATAGTAGTCATACAGTAAAAAAATTATCTATTTAGATCATCTAATCTTACAAAAAACTTTCTTTAGTAAATATTGAATTAGGATGTTAATTTTTAATATGTAACCTGTCAGACACTTATTTTCTAGGAATTATCACATCCGCAGACTAGTCAATCAAGAACTTTACTAATATGCATTTTGGAAATTACAGTATTTTCCTCCTCAGTGGGCTTTCTTTCATACAAACTAAACAAGGCACAAACACTTTTTCAATACTCTAGGAAATGTATAATGAATACATTAAATTTACAATTTACAATTATACAACTACTAAAAATTTTTAAAATGTTTATCTCACACAGTTTTTCAATACTTCAGTCGTTTTTTACTAATCTCTATAATAAAAACTTTTTCTTATTTTTTTAAAAAAAATATTGTTTAAATTCTTTGTATAATTAACCTAATTATTATATCAATTATTGCAGTACTTGTGTTCTTTTTCTTAACTATACATATCATCCACAGTCCTTGCTGTCAGTACATTTATTTGTTATTTTTCACCTCATTCACCAACACTCCTGCTGCAACTGGAACATCTCCCCTCCTGTCTTTTATCAGCCTTAATGAAGGTACTGGTCTGTCAAAAAAAAGATACTTTTTAAATTTCTCAATATTTGAAAAGTATTTTTGTAACTCTCTAGTGTTGTGAGCTTTTTAAAGCAATATATTTTTTTTATGCACCTGTCAATAGATTAAGGTAATTAAATATTGCCCAAGTAAGTCCTATTGTATTAAATGTAAAGAAAGCCACAGAGTTTGCAATATTTATATACTATACAATAAAAAATAATATAATTGGAAAACATGAGTTTTTCAATGTAAGTTTGCTTTGAATAACATTTTTTTTTAATGTAAAATTAAATAGAATAAATTACAAGAACTGCTTAAAATGTCCTCTGCAGATGCAGACACAATTGATTTTTTTGGCAAACCATATTTCAAAAATGATGTAAAATTTGAAAAACTTTTATAGAGAATTTTAAGCTTGCTTTTTAACCCTAGAATCCAGCTAGCTCTAAAATATTATTATGGAGTTTCATTACACTCTGTATATAGTATTATTTAGATTTTATTATATATTATTTAATTCATTTACATAGTTAAATAAACAACATTAACAAACTTTAGGAATAAATATTTGCTATTTAATTTTTTATTATATAATTTTTTCTAATTTTATTGTGTATTTTTTTTTAATAGGATTTAAACATTCGAACAGATAATTCAAGTTTTCATAATTTGTCACAATCATCAACAGCAATTTCCATAACATTTGAATTGTTAAGTAATTATGGCCATCCAAAGAGAATTGGTTTAACAGAGGTTGAATTTTTGAATCCATTAGGTGATAGACTTGAAGCAAGTGTTGCAGGTTCAAGAGTGAATGATGTAGCAGGAGAATTATCTAATATTTTGAATGGAAGAACAAAGGTTTGATTAAAATCAGTTGTTATAAATTACTTGTATTTTATAATTTATGAAATTTGAACTGTAGTGAACTCCTGCTAATTCAGACTAATGTTGGATAAAGGTTGCTAGAGTTTGTGAAAGTCTGAGTTAGCAGGATGTTTTCTCCAACAACATGGAAAACAAAAGTTGGATATACAGTACAGTAATTTATTGTGCTCAGTTCTATGCAGAAGTAGTAGGTTATACAGCCAAATTTATTATTACAGGAAATCATCTCAAAAAGTTTCATGACAGTATAGTATACAGTAATGTACAGTTTTTAGTAACTTAACACCTGAAGTTGTTTAATGCATGGTATCACAAAGACTTCTGGATATTGAAAACACCTGTTAATTATAATTTTTCTGCTGCCAAGAAATTTTAAATTATTGAACAATTTTTGGAAAAATTTGTCTGTTACGTGAAATTCCAGTTAATGGAATATGCTGTGTTATACATAAACAAGTAAAACAGCCAGGCCATATTTGTGACAAGACTGTCTCGGAGATTCACTACTAAGTGAGATCACTTCGACGCTCATTCTCAAGTCTCGTTCTCATTTTCCAATCTTCTTTTGTATCGCTGGTTTTGAGTGCAATCGTTTAAACTTTGCCTGCCTTGACCACAAGTCCATGATGCATTTTCGGTGAAATTGACCTATCCAATGTCAAAATTTTTTTCTGTTGTGTGTTGCCCCAGGTTGAATTTTTGTTGATGCCTAATGAAAATTTCCTGTTTTTGAAAATAATAATAGTGGCTATTGTATTGTCCGAAATTTTTTAATTTTTATTTTGCACAAACAAAATATATATATTAATAAATGTAAAAAGAAAGAAATTATATTTCTTAAGTTAGTTTTAATATAAAATTAAAAAATTATTACGACTAGCACCATTTAGTTTAAAAAATGTTCCAATGCTGAAACAAGATATCTCGGGTGAACTGGTCAAGGTCAGCAGGTTGCGACCAGAGATATGTCAGGAGAAGTAAATGGGTTTTTTAAGATTCGTTTGTCAAAACCAGGGCTTCTTAAACATTTTTTATTCACAACCCCATTTATGATTGTGATTTTTTTTGTGACTCAAAAAATATAAAATAAAGATATATACAAATTTGCAAAAACAATGATGGTGTATTACCACAGTTCACTCTTGTGTTATAATGGAACAGAGAGAACTGAATACACTGAAAAGCGACAACAGTACACTAGTTCACACTACAATCAGTGTTGCTGAATCATTGTCTTGCTGCACCAGAAGTGACACAAAGCGCAACTCACGAAACCTATGACACAAAGCTTGCCATTTTCAAACTCTCACAACTTATTTTCAATATTTTGCATTAAAATCTCGTGACCCCAAGATTTCGCTAAGCAACTCCAAATGGGGTCACGACCCATAGTTTAAGAAGCCCTGGCTTATGGGAAGATATGAGTATCAAATCTAGTGTTGATTCAGAAATGCAAACACAGAAAATGAAGAGATTTCTGACTTCTATACAATGGAAGACAGTGATATATAACTATGTAATGAATACTAATAAAATTTATCTCAACTCAGTTCTGTTGAAATAAATTTGTCTGGAGGTTTTTTTCTTGTTGGGATACCAGCTATATTCCCAATTAGAAAATTCTTGGAAATTCTGTAATCTTGCATTCTACAGATGTACAGTGTGGCTAGAAAATAATGAGACTGGAGCTGGAACTTTAAATCTTAGGTAGTATACTCACTTTAGTTGTGTTTCCCTTCAATATGATCCTTCTGTTTTCCCACAGTGCTGCATTTGCAACTTCCACTGATCATAACAGTGCTGCAGATCATCATCTGTAAGGATATGCAGAAGCTCTGTTGTTTTTTTCTTGACAGCAGAAACTGAATCAAAATGGTGTTCCTTCAGAGCAGACTTGACAAAGTCACACAGCTAGGTTAGGTGAGTACAGTGGGTGTTCAAGTAGTGTGACTGCCTTTTTGTTCAAAAATTGCTTCACTGACAGAGCAGAATGGGTTGGTGCATTGTCTTGATGGATAATGAAACCATTTTGTCACAAATGTTACTGCTTTCTTCTGACCTTTTCTTGCTAAAATTCTAGAACTTCTTTGTAGTACTATTGCTTCACAATTTGTTCCACTTTTCATATGTTTTCCTTGGTTTTTGACATGTTGGGCCATTCAGTGTGTTCATCATCTTTCACATCCTCTCGGTCCTCAGCAAATCTGTGTCTTTTGAACTTGTGCACAACAAACACACATATTTCCATATGTCTCAAGTAGCAGGTGCAAAGATTCAGTGGCAGTTTTTTTTCAATTTCACCAAAACTTTCAGGTTGATACGCTGCTCCTCTGTCAAGCTGGCCATTTTTCTGATGTGCACTAACAACACAAAACTTGCAGCAGGCACTCACAGCAATCTAATAGCAGTAACAAGTTGAGACTTGCTGTGCTTATTCTAACTTGTTGAAGGTTGTTTACCCACTCACTCACTTTGGCCCATGTGTGACCATTGTGTGCAGGCAATCACAGTCTTGTTATTTTCTAGCCTCACCATGTACAGAATGCTACTGGTAATTCAACAATCCCAAAACTATGATTTAATTATGTTTATTTTGGATGATTACATACATAACTACAGTGGTGCCTTGTATAACGTACTTAATCCGTTCCAGGTGAATTTCCATTAAGTGAAAAGTCCGTTATACGAAACGCATTTTCCCATAGAAATACATGTTAAAACATATAATTTGTTCCGCAGCATAAAATAACTGTACCATAAAAAAATGAAAATGGAGCAGTCACCAATTATGCCGGGTAGTCAGATGTTGTGAGGAGGTGGAGGAACACTTTTTTCACACATTCATACAGATACAGACTTTTTACACATTGCAGCAGGTCTCTTTTTATTGTTTTTTAATCAGAGTCAGATTTAGGAGAGGCTACCGGAGCTTGCAGGGTCAACTCCTCTTGTTCCATCCTTTGTTTTTTGGCAGCTGGCTTCTTGAAAAACATGTCCAAGGTGGTCTGCTGTTTCTCTCTCTTCTTCAACACCTGTCAGAAATGACTGGCAGGAGTGTCATTGTAGAGATCATTGATCCTGTTGGCCCCAGCTCTGGATAATGAGTGTTGGTAAACTCCTGAACCTCTCCTCATTTGACAAGGAAGTTTTTGTCAACTTTCACTCCTTCTGATGATTTCTTGCTTTGTTTCAATTGAAATCATCTTTCTGTTTTTTTTAGAAGCAATGATTTGCACAACACTTGAATAAATGTTACCTTGCACTGAGGTGATGTACTTTACGTAATAAACAAGGGAGCAAGCTGAATTCCAACAGGAGCTCTGTACTTCAGATATACTAATAATATATTCTAATAATACTAATATACAGTCATACCCCGACTTACGCGAACCCGGAGTTACGTGATTTTCAAATCTCGTTGATTCGTCTTTTGTTTGAGCGCCACGCTCTCCCCACACTATTGTTCGGCTTACATGTTCGGATGTGTCGCGCGGAATCGACGCATAGCTACAATTTATTTTGTGTAATTTATTTCTGTTTGTTATATCTACGGAGATTTGAGAGACTCTATGTGGTGATTTCTTGTAATTGTGAACGAACCAAAAGGCAAGATAAGATTAACGAGAACATTTATTAGCTTACATACATCCAACTTGGATTTTACACAAAAGGAATCTGCAATCGTAAACAGTTGACGAAAAAAGTATACATTTATCAGATAATAAACAATTTTGTAAACAATTTACCTTTTGTATATACAACTGACAAGATTACCTTTCAAATTATAAACAGACTCGATCTCAAGCGGTCTTTTGATCGTCGGACATACAAAAGAAATGAACAGATGGCGCCTAACTTAAGCGCGGTTTACAATAACGAATATGATTAATCTTAACACTCTACTATGTCATCCAAACGAAGTAGAACTGATTCTTCTGCATCAAACAAGAAAAGAAAAACTTTATCTTTGGAATGTAAAGTTAACA